AATGATACTTTGGAGCTTCTGGACCTGTCCAGAAATAATTGATTATTTACAAGCTGTCAGGTTTTTGCATCCTGAAATAACTAGTATTAGTAACAAAACCACAGTGTGAGAAGAAGCTTTACCTCATCCTTTTCTGTTTTTAAGCAGCTCTGCAAAGTCTTAATTTTCAGTTGCAGCTGCCTCTCCATTTCATGCAGACCAGATTTCTCCCTTATTGACAGTTCCAACTGATCCTGGAAGGAAACACATGATACATGACGTAAAACTGTTATATGCCGTCTGAAGATTTTCTATAAATCAAATTAAATAATCAAATAAACTAAAAAATACACTATAAATGAATAATAATAAAATGAAATTCTATGTGAATCAAATGACTTTTATTTTTTCTAGCAGCATGTTTAGAAAAAAACAAAACAAACAAACAAAAACAGGGACTATGCATCACAACCAGATACCATCAAAGTGACAGGAAGCACGTCAAGACCTCCCAGCACACAGCTCTAAAAGGTCTGTCTTTGCTTGACTGACAATGTTCAGTGGGGATATTCATAGTGTATACACACTACCATGCTTTCATATCTCTAAGAGGTGACAAAATGTGACACTGCATTACTCCACCTTTACTCCAAGACATCTGTACGCAGATTATAGCCTGAAGAAATAAAATGTTGGCTCCACAGAGAAACGAAAGAGACACTTTCTCTCTTGGAAGTACATTAACAGAAAGATCAGCGGTTATACATGCCTTGAGTCTGGTATTGCTCGTCTGCATAAGCTCCATGGTGCTGGATTTCTTTAGCTGCTCTTTCTCAAGCCCTTCTACAGAGCTCATAGTTCGCCTGTGAATCTGTAGCAGCTCATACATGGCATTCAGAGCCGGCACTGCATTCAGGCCAGTCCCCTCTGGTGAGGTGGCCTCAATATACGTAGAGGAGAGGCCCAGTGAGGAGAGCTCCTGTGGGGGGATGGAAATTAAAAGTATGTCCTTGTCTAGGGGTTATCTTTTTGGAGACAATAAAAAGTTTCCATATAAACCAAACACTTCAAGTAGTAATAATAACAATCAATAATAATAATAATAATAATAATAATAATAATAATAATAATAAACCTAGGGCCTTCCATACCTGATTGATGTATGAAATGCACTGAAGAATGTTATCCTCTGTGCAAAAGGCACTTATTACACTGTAGGAGCTTTTTGCCAAGGGAAACAAGTACGATGACACAAAGTTGTTCTGTCTCGAGGGTGACATCGTAACATGTGATATGCTGGATATCTCATAGTTTTCTGCAAACACAGAACAAAGAAAGGGAAAAATATTGAAACTGTGGAAACATTACATCTACTGCTCTCTTCCTCTAAAGAGAGGCTTGAATTAGGTTGCAGATGAGAAATGAGAACAAAAATGTGGGTCACCTCTAAAGCTAATGGGACTTGCTATTCTTGAAGCGCTCTATCAAATGCATCGTTTCAGCACACACACACACACACACACACACACTTACCCATCGATGCCTCAGTTGTCCACCACTCTCCCATATCACCAACACATCAGGACACGAGGACACGAGGTCATAAGTTGTCACCAGGGAGATGGATTAAGCAGCCGGGGGTTGTGGATCAGAGGACAGCACTGGAACAGAGCGCTGCAACAGAGCATCAAGTCATGAGACAGACCAGCAACAGATAATCTGAGCCGAAGCTTCATCCTCACAGGATTAACTGTCAGATGTGTGCCGGTTTGGAGGGGGATTCAAATGGGTTTTAGGAGGGTGCTCCTATTGGTTACTGGCATCCAAACTGCTGGGCTGTAAGATGATCTGAGCCTCAAACCAAAGGATTACAGAGATAAAAATAAGAGAATCCATTACAGAGAGTAAATCTGACAGACTCATTTGTTCTACGTGTTTGTTTTTTTTAACTTTAATCACTGACATGCTCGGTGAAACAGGCTGAACCACACACTAAACTAAAGGGGCCACTCCCACAGCCTTACCGCCGTGACTTGCATTCAGGTACAGGTTCATTGTGTTGATGAATAAAAAGAAAAAACGGCGCACTGAAAAGCTGGGGCGTGTTAAAACGGTTGGACGCAACCACCAATCATGGGAAATGTCTGCTGCCTCACAAGCCAACTCTTCCCAGTTTATCTAATGAAGCAGAGAGCTTACACAGCTTTTATCTAGAAATACACACACTGGGGAGGCGATAAAGTCAGACGTGCTACGACGTGACACACTCAATGCTTAAGGTCAGGAGCTGCTTAAACGTACGTAGTCCAGCAAACATGCTTGCTTACTTTGCTGTGTCGTTTGCTAGACCTCTACATGGCTACAGAGAAATACCTTAGAAGCTTAACGCTGCTAAGCATAAATAACGTTCACACATGCCGTGTTTCTCCCCCGTGATGTTAGTTAGCCAACAAGATAATAGCCATGCTAACATGACAACACTACAAAGATACTCACTCAAGGACGTGAAACGGGTCAACTAAATCCAACAGTTTACCTCCGTGCTGCTGCTGGCACGGTTAATACACTCCTTCCCTGAAAACACCTCCAACTCCGGTGTAGACTCCAGTCAACATCCTGTCAACAGCGGCAATAAGTATCAAAACTCCCGACACAGCCCAGCAAATACCTCCACAGGTTAATGGGCAGACTCTGGCTGCTGCGGCGTTTGTATTTTTTTTTTGAAGTCTATTCCTCCGCTGTCGTCCAATCAAACTGCATTGTTATTGGTGGCACCGTTGTTAGGCAAACAGTATGAGGGCCGTGCATTGGGTGTACATTATGCAAATGAGAAATGCCGTCAGGTGGCACAGTCAGGTGTCATAAATGTCACTGCCGCGCCCCCTGTGGCTGCAGGAGGTATTACTACACATAAAGCCTGTTTTGACAGCTTTATTTATATAGAGCTGCCAAATTAATTGTCATTACACATAGACTCATTGTGCTTGAAATAGAAGATAATGCCTCAAGACAATGAAAACAAGAGAGTAGAACTTTACAAAAAACTAAAATGCGAGTGACAGAGGTAATTCACTTCAGGTCAGCACTCAGCTCCTCCCAAAGAACAGGGTAACAGCTGATGTCCTGCAGGTCTGTTTGGGTTAAACACGTCTGAGATGTCCAAAGAGGCCAAACCACTGAGAGCTTTAGGAACTAACAGAAGGATTAGTTCATAAAGGGGGTTTTAAAGGAAATTCTGTGTTGAACCGAGAGCCAGTGTAGTGACTTCAATATTGAAGTATATGTTCAAATTTCTGTGTATGCATAAGGACTCTAACTGTTGCATTCTGGGTGAGCTGAAACTGTACAACTGATAAATTGGACAATCCTGTAAATAGTGTGTTTCACTAGTCTAAACTTCTTGATTTGACTATAAGGACCAATTTCCCTGAGCCAGTTTGAGAATTTTCTAACTTTTGATATGTGACAGAAAGCACTTCTGATAACCTTATTAATATGATTATCAAAACTAAGATCATTGTCCAAAAATAATGCAAAGATTCTCAACTTACTCACAAAAGAGATGATTAGTGTAAAAAAAAAAATTCTGTCTCTGACTTTCTGGACCAACAACAAATATTTCTGTCTTGTCTCTGTTCAGCTCTGTTCAAAAGGTTTGTAGACATCCAGTAGTTAATGTCATCAGAGAAGCTTATTAGGTTATGTACAGGGGTTAAATCATCAGTGGAACAAGGTAGGCACATCAGTATCATTTGCATAAGAATGATAGGATATATTATTATTCTCTATGGTAATACTAAGCAGGAGCATGTAAAGGTTAAAGAGTAATGGGCCAAGGACAGACCCTTGTAGAACTCCTGATTGAATGTTCATTTATGCAGATCTAAATCAAATATTTGAAACAAAAAAAACCCAACTCTAGCCTTTAGGTACAATACAATGAGACCCAATCAAGAATCGGAACCTGTTAAATCAACTGGATCATAAAGTCTTTGAGTTGAAATGTCCTGATCATCAGTGTTGAAAGCAGCAGTGAGATCAAACAGAGCTAAGATCTGCTGATCTTAAGGTCACTGATGACTTTAAAAGAGCTGCTTCTGTGCTATGATTGTTTCAGAGACATCATTGGTACATGTCATAAGTGCTGTGAGGTAAAATTAATTCAGCTGAAACAAATGTTTTATTTTCAGATATTTTGCTGACCATGTTTGTGAGAAAAAAGTCAGATTAAATTTAAAATAGGTGCCACTGTTATGGCTAAAGGTGCGCTGAAATATATCCAGAAGGGACATGACTGATCCTAAGAAGCTCTCAGTACTGAAATTCAAACTTTATTATCCAAATAAGGTGCTCAATTTGACATTTTGTGCAAAAGAAAAAATACAAGCATAGCAAAAATACACAAAGTAATTTATACAGGTCATAGGATATGCTTCTGTATTGCTGACAAAAAAAACCTGTGCTCAGCACAAAATAAAGAGATGAAAAGCAATTACGTTTCAGGAAATTCACTTTCACTTTACTTTGCATTTAAGTTGTGAAGTTTATTTGAGAGTTGCATCTTTTAGCATGGTTTCCTCACAGTGAGAAGGTTCTGGGTTTGTACCCCCTGTTGGACTTTGCATGTTCTCCCTGTGTGGACTTCCTCCAAGTGCTCCAGTTTACTCCCACAGTCCAAAGATGTGCTTGTTCGGCTAATGGTGATTCTAAATTGGCCATATGTGCTAATGTGAGTGTGAATGATTGTTTTTCTCTCTGTGTTGACCCTGTGATGGACTAGCGACCTGTTCAGGGTGAACCCCACGGTTCAACCAATGTCAGCTCGGGTAGGAAGACTCCAAGTTGGATAAATGATTATGAAAATAGAAAGATGTTTAAATTTTCTCCTTAAGTGCTTGTATATAAAAGATCGCCAAGTTACATCGTTGTTGTGTAGCCAGGAGGAAGTTCTTCTTAGTGTTTTTCTCCACTAATGTCTGAGACATCTGCCCTCCATGTTTGAATGCAACACTGGCAAGAAGAGAATATTATTTGACATATTTATACGGCAATGCTTGATATTGATGTTACATTGGTTTATAATGTGGCCATATAATATCAGCATGTCCTTAACATAGGAACTTTGCTAATTTACTAGTTCTAAAAAAGTCAAAACTCAAGTAAAAGTACATCTGTTTAAGTTGGAAGATATTCCATCACTATCACCCAATAGTGTTAACAAAGGCTCTATACAGACTCTCAGGACCCTGTGGGGCATTTTGCAGTCATATGAGGGCAACTCGTTGCTCACACTTGGCAAAAAGATGACACTACACCCTGTTATCCAAAGCAACCACTTGAAAACATGCAGCAGGTCGACTCGTCAGTAATCTGGTATCGTCCAGACTCAGGCTGATCTATGCACTCTGCAATGAAGGCCTGAAGCTGGGACACTGGCTCCTTGTCTTTCTGATGATGCTGAAAAAAGAACCATTATAAGAATAAATACATAAATAAATAAATAAAATATGCTCATATTCAACAGTAAATTACATCCCTGCAAGATATCAAATATCAGGGTGGCTCGGACTGACCTTGATGGTTTCGTACGTGTCAGTGATGAGAGCAATGAACAGACTGAGCACCATGTAGATGAAGATAGAGATGAAGGAATAGAGGTAGAGTCTGCTGAAGAGCCACACCATGTAGGTTTTGTCTCTCATCCTCAGAAAGGTGGAAAACATATCATCACCATTGAGGAGAGAGAAGAGGCACTCTGTCACTTTAGCCAGTGTTCTGAACTGTAAAACAATGTTTAAATAACGATTAACATTCTGACATCATGTTTCTGGAAATCATGTCGGAACAGATCACCCTAATGTTTGTGCTGTAATATGAATTAAAGTGTTTATACTTTGTCGTGGTAAGGTCCAAGGACGATCCAGCCACAGAAACAGTACCCGAGGTAGATTATGGCTGCACAGACGCAGAATCGAAACACATTGGGCAATGCCGCCCTCAAGGTTAAGATTAAGATCTAAAACAAAAAGAAGAAGAAAAAAATGCCAGTCCCTCTGGAAATGCATTTGCTCTTTATTTGTATAAAGTAATTTTTATTAGGCACTGTTAGGAAAGTCTTACATTGTACTTCTTGAAGAAACTCAGGTAACGAATCACACCAACCCAGACAAGCATCGTGGCTGTTCCCAGCAAGATACTGCAGACGTCATAGTTTGTTAAGAACTGCAAAAGAAAAAAAAATACTACTGATAAATTTGATAATTCTGCAACCCTTTACATCAGAATCAGAATCGTGTTTATTGGCCAAGTATATGTGTTTTTACATACTGATTTCAGACCATTTAGAAAATATTCACTGATTTCTAAAAGAAAAAAAGAAAAAACCTTTGTTTGTATTCCAATTTTCAGCACTGATCCAGTGATGGTCATTATGTCACTGACAATAATGAGGATGTACCAGCCATTCACAAACTCCATGCGGTCTGACCAGGACACAGTTTTATTGTAGTAGGCACTGAAAAATATGCTGAACTCCTACATATGAGAAATTTATCAAACAAACAGACTGTCAAACAAGTCAGCTAATGAGAGGTTACTACAGGCAGTAGTAACAGGCACATTTTAACATGCTTAGTCTATTAGCTAATACTATAAAGCAATACTGTGCAAAAATCTTGAGTCACCCGACTATGGTTTTGGGTCTACACATATTGGCAGTCTGTTAAAACATGTCACACATCAATTGTTCCCATTTCATAAGTTGAATTTACAAAAAATGACAAAGATAACGGGCATAAAATATATTTTTGCAATAACAAGGTGATTTCTAAAGAGCTATTATGCCATAATTTGGAATATCTCTTTATGGTGTGCAGTGAATCCTTAAAAAAATCTGAGGAAACGGGAAAAGAAAAGAAGTGGCAGGCCTAAAAACTATCTAGAGCTGAAGAACAATATCTGAAAGTGCATCTAGCCTCATCAGAAACAGTCTTAGGTTGAAGCATGGCTATCAAGAGTTATGCCAAATTACAGAAGGACTGGACTAAAAATAAGTGGTAGTGTCAAATCATCTTGATAGACAGAAGAATAAAGGTGGTCATGCCAACATGTTTGCATGTTTCCATAAATCTCTGCACCTATGTCCCATTTTCCCAGCAAAATATAAAGAAATGAAAGGTGGCTCAAGAGTTTTTCACAAAATTATATGTGCTCTTCTTAAAAACGACATCATGTTACCAGTATGTAAAGCTCCTCACCAAAAGTATAGAGAACATTACTTGATTGACCTCATCAACTATAATTATGGCCTGCCTTGGGTGCTGTTTAGTGTCTTAACTGAGCCAGATGCTAAAAGTATTTGTGTGGTGATACTTACAAACTGGAGCTGGATGCCATGGACGACAGATCGTAGGCAGAGGATGAGAGAGGCGAAACAGGCGAGGATGACCACAGAATCAAACGACAACAGGAGATAATCGTTCTTCCCAGCTAGAATATTTGAGGTCAGGTGTTAATATTTTGGGGCTCTGTGTCTATAAAACTGAGACATAACCTTTGTCATTTCTTGGATCATGCAGGTACAGTTGCAATCAAAAGATTACGTACACTCAATATGGGCATGAATGTCATAGTAATTTGGGGTTTTTAGTGATTTGATTGAACTGTTTGTTTTCCAGGGTGGAGCGATTGTACAGCGTACGACATTGGATTTACATTGGATTTTCTCAAATCCACATAGGGTCAAAGTTAGACATAGCAGCTCAAACATGTATATACACCCCCACTAATATTTGTTTAAATGTCCTTCAGTGAGTTGCACCTCAAATAAATGCTTTTGTTAGCCATCAACAAGCTTCTCGTGTAATTCTGGCTGGATATGCGACCATATTTGCAGAATTGGTAGGGTTCATTTGAATTGGTTGGTTTCATGACATGGGCTCAGCTTTCAAACATAGTCCAAAAATTTCTAATGAGAAATGAAATTATCATCTATATTATCCATTCCAAAACCAGTTTGATGTGTTTGTCCTTTTGAAACACCTAACTGTGCCCAAGTTTCAACCATCTACCTGTCGATTTGAGGCGACGTTGAAGAATTTGGATGTGCTTCTCCATCATTATAATTATTCTACCCATTTTGTACAATGTACCAGTACCAGTGGCAGGAAAAACAGTTGGCACACTATTCTTGGGTTTGAAAGCTTCACCTTTATTCCTCTAAACTTACCCCTCACCACTGTGGCCAAATAAGTCAGTCTATCTGGTCTGAACATCTGAAACTTTTCTCCAGAATGCATTTGGGTTTTCTTAAATGTGTTGATTTGGGAACAGTAGCTTCTTTCTTGGTCAACACCCTCTCAGTACATGCTGATGTAAAACTCACTTCACTCTGGACAGTGACTCTGGTGTCCCAGCAGTTTCCAGTTCATAGTAGGCTTGAGTGGTTCATGAACATCCTAACAATTATCCATTAACAGTTATATGTGGGTGACAGTTTTGGGTCTTCCTCCAGACCATGGCAAAGTGGTGACATGTTAAATAACTTTACTAACATACTGCTGTTTGAACTAATGATCCTGGAATCTGCACTTGTTTAGAAATGGCTCCAACACAGCTTCATAACCTGTGTAAATCTACAATTCCTTGGACTTTTCCATTGGTCTGAGTATTGGTCAGTCCAATGAGGGCTGTCAAACCAATCCTTTTTATGCTCCAGCTTTAGTCAGCCATAGTCACAAACATGAAGTTAACAGACTTGCTGAGTTGAAAGACATTGTAGAACTTTCTGCACTTTTTATTATACTTTTGACCTAATCCAAAAAAAACCCCTTTTGTATCCAATTTCCTTTTTTAATCATTCGACACTGGAAAAAGAACACCTCAAAGAAATCATTAAAAGCACAAAATGACCATGACATTCATGCCTATGAGTCTGAACACAGCTGTATTATGAAAAGTAGAAAAGTGTTACTGTGCCCCCTGCTGGCGTTTGACTAACACTAACAAATATTTTGCTTCCTGGTGTCTCTCAGTACTATTTCTACTCACATGTGCCTTCCACGTTCCAGTCACTGCATTCATAAATTCTAACATCATTTTCAATATCAACCTTTATCTTTCCGCTGTGTGCACGATTGTCAAAAACGATCTGTGTAAAAACAAAGGATGGTTCGTCACTGAGCTTGTAAAATCTCCTAAAATATTATAGAAAATATATCTTTGAGATTGTGGCACTTTTCAGATAGTGTCACCAACCACTATGTGGAAGTCATAACAGTCTGGTAGCTCGTGGTGCCGCACAGTCTGCAGATTGATGCTTTTCAGAGTTAGGTAGATGTTCACAGATAGCA